TTCGGGAAGCTGGACTTTCTTTTCGGGCAATTGCAGTTAGAGTGCAAAGAAGGGTAGACACTGTGGTTAGGTGTTGTCAGACATGGCTTCGAGAAGGCCGTACGCAAAGAGCAAGTGTCACTGGACGCCGCCGTAGAACAACAGACCGTGAAGATCGCCGCCTAAGGTTATTGGCCTTAAGGGACCGTTTCTCCACTACCAGGTCCATTGCAAATGAATGGTTTGCAGAACACGGAAGACCTATTGGCATGCAAAGTGTTTAACCGACGAATGAGAAGTTTTGGCTTGTTTTCATACCGGCCACACTGGGTCCTCCCTTTAACTCGAGAACACCGACGTAATCGCCTTGAATGGTGCAGACAACGGTCATTCTGGGATCAGGAATGGAACAGTATTGTCTTTAGCGACGAGTCTCGATTTTGTTTAGGCATGCACGATGGTCGTGCCAGGGTTAGAAGGCGACGTGGTGAAAGGAGGAATCCACAGTTTTTTGTTGAAAGACATGTTCATCACACTGTTGGAGTTATGGTTTGGGGTGCTATAGCTTATGGTTCCAGGTCACCTTTAATCTTCATCAGAGGTAACATGAACGCGCAGCGTTATATCCACGAAGTTCTAGAACCCCATCTTTTACCCTATCTTGACACCCTGGCAGATCCAACTTTCCAACAAGATAATGCCCGACCACATGTTGCAAGAGTCACAATAGACTTCTTTCAACATAATGATGTCACATTGTTACCATGGCCACCAAGATCTCCCGACTTACCCCCAATTGAGTACGTGTGGGATATGATGGGTAGGAGATTGCTCAATTTGCAACGTCCTCTTCAGACTCTAGAAGCACTTCGAGAGGAGTTGGTGGTTGCCTGGAATGAGATACCACAGGAGGACGTTGACCACCTGATCAGAAGCATGCCTAGGCGCGTTGGAGAATGCGTAGCACATCAGGGTGCATCCACATATTATTAAAGTTCAAAGGGCTTTAAAGCAGTGCAATCATTTTGAAATTTTTATCATTTACTTATTATGCTTCATTAAGTACTTATACAAAATTTTATTAAAATAAAACCATTTAAACTAGGTCTTATTATATATGTCACTTAGTAAATTTTCTAGCTCAATACCCTTTGTATAGTTGGCGAATATAAAAAATACTTGATTCTTGGAACAATAATTTTGTTGGATACAGCTTTTCCTTCTTGAACAACGTCTTCATAATGTATTTTTGTATTATTCCCAAGTTTCGAACATATGTGACATTTGCAGCTCCCCAGGCAATAACACCGTAGCTGAGACTACTTTGAGCGGGCCGTTAAGGTATGGTGCTATGGAATAACCCAACAATACAGGGTTATCCAAATTAAGTGTCCACCATTGGTAACTTTGTTATTAGTAAAAATACAAAGTTGTTTAAATTAGCAAACTAGTAGCATTTTTAACGCTGGTAAAAATGAGAAATAAAAAAAAAACAATTGAGAGTCGTTATTTTGATTTTTTTTAGTAAAATAACATTTTTTTAAATGGAAACCCCTGTATATTATATTTTTTTCTATTAAAGCATCAAATTCTAAACAAAAAAGTTCATAATGACTTTTCCGCTAAAGTCAAAAATAAAGTCAAAATAACGATAAATATTTTTAATTATTTGCAGTATTATAATATTAAGACGGCTATGAAAACAACATGGCGTTCGCGATTTGACAGCATTAAGATAAGCGACAAATTTTTAAACTGGACATACTCGCAACTAGAAGGCTTTGGAAAACAATGATAAAATCAAATAATGTCAAACATTAGTGTAAATACTTGTTTATAAGCTTTATTGTGTCATTAATTTAAAGAAAAATGTTCTCCCATGAAGAAAAGTGTGATATGTTAGAATGCTATTTAGTGTGCAGAAAATCCTCCTTGAGAGCAAGTGAATTATATCCCGCTGGCATTCAACCGTATGAACGATATCTTCTGAGACTTTATCGAAAATTTAGGGGCAACGAAAATGTTTTTGCTAAAACATGGGCAAAAAAAGAATTCATAATAAGCGAGGCCACGGAAATTGCAGTTATTGGATATTTTGAAGCTTATCGTGAGAATTCAATAGCAGATATTCTCAAGGACTCTAATTTCAGTTATGGTACTGTTCAAAGGATTTTAAAAAAATACAAATTTATTCCGTATAAGTACCGACCAGTTCAAACGCTTTTGGCAGGGGATCCAGAGAGAAGACTTGTTTTTTGCCATTGGTATCTTAGCTTCTGTCGCCAAAATGTAAATAACTTTCGTTACCTTTTATGGACAGATGAATCAAATTTTTCAAATTCTGGAATGTTTAATAGAAAAAACCACCATTATTGGTCAAGAGAAAATCTTTTGTTAGTACATCCAAGAGGCCCACAAGTCCGTTTCAGTTTCAACGTTTGGTGCGGTATAATTGGTTCAAAAATTGTTGGCCCGTTCTTTTATGAGGGAACCCTAACTGGTGAAAGATATGTGGAATTTATGTCAGAAATTCTGACTAATTTCTCAGACGAATTGGATCTTATAAGTAGACATCATCTGCATTTTCAGCAAGATGGCGCACCTTCCCACAACTCCAGAGGTACTTATCATTTTCTAAGTACTACTTTTAATGATCAGTGGATAGGAACAAATGGCCCAATACAGTGGCCTCCCAGATCACCAGATCTAAACCCACTTGATTACTTCTTGTGGGGTTACTTAAAGAACCAAATTTATAAGCGAAGGTACGATAACCTTGACGCGTTAAAGACTGCAGTTAGGGAAAAGATAACCCAGATAGATGGTAGGACCATACTTAAGACAGTTCGAGCAGTTGAAAAACGTGCCCAAAAATGTATTGAAGAACAAGGTGGTGTTTTCGAGCATCTTCTTTAAAAAAAAATTGTTATTGTATTTTGTAAGATTATAAGTTGATGTTGAAAATAAAGTTTGTCGATACAATTTAATTGTTTCAGATTGGAGGCCATAACTTCAACAATTTGTAACCTAGGAGAAAAGTTATTGTAAGCTTTTTTGTTTAAAATTTGATGCTTTAACAGAAAAAAATATAATATACAGGGGTTTCCATTTAAAAAAATGTTATTTTACTGAAAAAAATCAAAATAACGACTCTCAATTGTTTTTTTTATTTCTCACTTTTACCAGCGTTAAAAATGCTACTAGTTTGCTAATTCAAACAACTTTGTATTTTCACTAATAACAAAGTTACTAATGGTGGACACTTAATTTGGATAACCCTGTATACTGAGATATCTTAAATTCAAATTCAGCCTGAATTTTTACTGGGAAAAAAAAACGAAAACGGAATGTCCGGCACGCCACTGCGAATACTGTAACTGACACTGGCGGTGATACGATGGCCGTATCCAAATTTCCGGAGTATTATTTTAAGCCGTTCTCCGCGTTACGACTCGGCCATCTGGAAATGATGCAGTTTTCATGTTATGAATACCTCCGAATTTGCATTTGATCGCCACGAAGCACACATCCGATTTCGGACGTAGCAATCTGTCGGCGGATGAGTTTATTTATGGAGATTGATTCACATCAGAGTGTTTTTGTCTGATCGATCGAACATTTAAGCAGACATACCGATTCGTTGGACTTGATACGACAGAGTTTTTATTAAAGACGATAGGTTTAGAGCAGCAACCTGCATTTGTGGTACGGTTCGGAAAATACAAACCTTCCCACAAACCGGCGCGAAATAATCGCGGCGAAGTATTCGCAACGAAATTCAGAGCGAAATTCGCATCTGTTTCGCCTGTTTATTCATACCAACGCGTCTTATTCGCTCCGCGAACGTGAAGGTTTCGACAGGTTGCGTACATTTTATTTTTGCCTTTTGCAATGAGCTCGTCTTCAGAAGAAGAGGAGGCACTTCTATTTCTTGCTTTAGAAGAGGAACAAAATGCACGGTAAGTTATGTTTATTTAACGCGATTTGATAGTTGGGTATGTATTAAGTTTAACGAAGTACATAAAACAAATATTTTCAATTTTGTTTAGGAAACGTGGGTACATGATATTAACTTGGAACGAAATAAATTTGGGGAATACCATACCTTGATGCCACAACTTCGGCTGGATGACTGTTCGCTTTTACGTATATTTTAGAATGATTCCAGAGTGTCTCGATGAAATATCGAACTTGGTGAAAGATGAAATACGAAAATCTGACACAAATTATCGTGAAGCTATTTCGCCAGAAGAACGACTTGCTATTACACTCAGGTAAAAAAATTATATGTATTAAAATTAGTAGGCTTATCGAATACCAAAACTTCAGGGACCGTGAAATAAATATTTTATTGTAATAATTGGACTACATGTTGCCACTAGGATTAAATGTTGCTAAATAATTCGAGGCAGAATTTGCCTCCTCTGTTGGGTATATTATTGGAGTAAACCCAGTGCCGCTTGGAAAGGACGACATAGTACTATCATATACTTGCAGAATTCTGGGTAGACGCTGAAGACATTTCTTCAATATGTTCAAATTCTTCGTGCGCTATTAATTCGGCTATTTTTAGTTTTATTCGGGCTTGACGCTTTAAGGGAAGTGTTTTCACAGTCTGTGCATGTGCCAAGAAAAGTGAATCAATGGCCTCGTTCTCTTTTTTAGGTTTTTTACCTTCAAAATAATTAATGAGCTGTTGTACAGACGAAGATGGTGGTTCATAGCGTTTTCTGCTCGTTTTATATTTTGGTGTAGTTGCAGTCTGCGGAAAGGTGTGCCCTGGAGTAGTCACTGCTGTAGTGTTCAATGAAGAAGGTGTTGCTGTCTGTGTTGCCGAGGCGTTCTGTGCATCTTCTGCATCTACATCAGCATTTTCATCTTCTCCATGGCCGCGGTCTTCCAAATTTTCGGTTTATACATTTCCAGCCCTTTCCTGATATATATTTGAGTTAAATTCGGCAGTCTCATAATGTATGACGTCAATATCTTTCACATTAGACGACGTTTTGGCAAATGCCAAAAAAGGACGGAAAAAAAATTCCATGTAGTCAGCCCACTGCCATTTCTTTATGTTGCCCACTGCTTGGCCGGTCTTTGGTTTGGTAGATTTTATATATTTTGCAAATGTGTCTCTGATATTCTTCCACCTTTTTTTTACTTCATCACCTAAAAACGATTTTTTTTATAGATTCCTTGCCACTGGTGACACCTTCTATACAATTGGGCATAGCTTTCGAGTTGGCTTTACAACAGTGAGTGCAATCGTAACCGAAGTCTGTGAAGCGATATGCAGACATATGGAACATATATATTTACCAGAACCAACAGAGAATATATGGAAAAAATGTGCTGAAGGATTTGAAAATAGATGGGGATTTCCCAATTGCATTGGCAGCGTGGACGGTAAACATGTAACAATCAAGAGACCTAACAACAGTGGCTCCAATTACTGGTGCTATTTACATAAATATTCAATAGTACTTATGGCCATTGTTGGCCCGGACCATAAATGTATATGTATATATATATTGGTGGTTTCGGAAAAAATAGTGATGGGGGTATTTTCGAAACCTCAAACATGGGAAAACGATTTGAACAAAATTTAATGAGTGTCCCTGCACCTAGATTTCTCCCTGGGCAAAATGAAATCTGCTCGTACGTCTTAATTGGTGATGAAGCATTTGCTTTAAAACCATACCTTATGAGACCATTTCCTTATGAGCAGACTTTAACAGACGTCAGAAAAGAGAAATACAATGTAAGACTTTGTCGAGCTAGAAGGGTCGTGGAAAATGCGTTTGGTATTTTGTCTCAAAAATGGCGAATATTTTACAGGCCATTAGAAACTATTCTAATTGTACGTACGGCATGTGTTTTACACAATTTTTTACGAAGTAAAAGTGGCGATGACAAATATTTTCAATTCTTAGATCCCCCAGAACCCGTGGTTGGAGCTTTTACTGATATAGCAAATGATCCTCGGCGGGCAGCAAGGCTAGCATTTTCTGCTCGTGACAAGTTCGTAAATTATTTTAATTCTGATATGCCTATGCCCAATATATAGAATGTTCGTTTTCACATTTGTGTAGACTGTAAATTATTTAACAAGTTAATAAAAAATATTAGGTACATACCATTTGTATTTAATTCTTTTCCTATTTCCATACAAATCTTGTCTTTCTTTCTCACATTCCTGTATTCATCGTTCGACAAATGATACAAACAAGGATACTTTTTCACTATTTCTATCAATAATTCCGTTTTTGCCATTGCGAATTTTTGAAGAACGGCGTCAAAAACGCGGTCAAAGGCGAACTGAAATACGCCGCGATAAAAACGCTGGAACAATCGCATTCGCTTCGCACAAGTCTGAGCCTGTCCGTAAACCGCCGCGTTTTAATCTGATCGCGAATTCATCGCCGCGAAATTTTCGCAGCCAAAGCGAATATTTCGCGCCGGTTTGTGGGATGCTTTATAGCTGTTACATGCGGCAATATTTTTAGCATACAGTATACAGGGTGATTCGCAAGTCACAAAATGGAACATATACAGGATCTCATTTTAACGGGGTCTTATATGTAACATTTTTTTTCTCGAAGGATTCATTAAGAAGATATGGGGTGTTGAAGTTTAAAAATAAAAAACAATTTTAAATTGGTATGTGGATTTACCTAAGTATTGTCCACTTTCAAAGGTCTTTACTTAAAATTAACGTGCAATAGTGGTACAGGAGGGTTTATTTGCTACACATAATTAATCTTGTGTGTTTGCCTAGAGCGCTTCCTCTGAAATTATAGATAATCAAAGTTTTATTTCAATAAATGACGCATACAAGTGCGGCATATTTTTCATAAAGAAAAACGTATTCCGCAAAACCTCTTGCTGCTTGAATTCGATGAGACGCATTATCTATTCTTCCTTGCAACAGTATTCATTTGTTCAACGTGCACTAGTTGTTTAAAAGCGCCTCACAAAAAGAAATCCAGATGATTTAAATCAGGAGACCTCGCAGGCCAATGAACGGGTCCGTTTCTGCCAATCCATCGTTGTCTAAAATTATTACTTAACCATGCGCTTATGTCACGACGAACATGCGGTGGGGCGTAAGGCATATTCATGCTCTCGTCGCTAACGGAATATCATTTAACACATCTTTTATGCAATTCTCTAGGAAAGCTAAGTATGAGTTTGCATTTAAACGTTGTGCGTAAACAGTTGGCTATTGAAAATGCCGCACCAGACATGTCTAGAAAATCTGAGATGAAACTATTGGATCCTTACAGAACGGGGATTTTCTAACGACCAAATATCTTCATTATGAGAATGAAGGTTCCTCTGCTCGCAAAAAGCGATTCATCTAACTAAAAAACTAAATCAATAAAAATCTACATTCTGATTATGCATTTACAGTAACCACTCACAAAAATATCGCCATTGCACTTCGTCCCGGGATGCAGACATTGCACATTTTCCCTATGGTAAGGATGTAAAACCTCCCGATTCAAAATCGAATTGTTCATGTAGCTTGAAAAAGTTTTTTGCATAAAAAGCTGTTTTTTTAATCTGTATTGTACTGTTGTTCCAAATGTATGCGTTCTTGTTCTACATTTCCGTTTGTCCTTCGATTTGTTATTTGCTATTTAACAATGAAATATACTAAGTGACATATAAATCCGAACACCCAGTTTAAATGGTTTTATTTTTAAAAAGTTGGTGAATGTATTTATCTTACTGTAAATAACAAGTGAAAAAATTTTCAGCCTTATCAGTTGGACATTCCGGTTTTTATACTGCTTCTTTTTAATTCACTAACGCTCTAAAAATGAATATTTCAGCCGCAGTAAAGAATCAACGTTGGCGGATTTTGGTTCTTGACATCCTTGACGATCGGTTACGATGCCTAGAGTACGGTAGAGTTCGTCAACTTAGTGAGTTTGATAGGGGCCGTATAGTGGGACTTCGGGAAGCTGGACTTTCTTTTCGGGCAATTGCAGTTAGAGTGCAAAGAAGTGTAGACACTGTGGTTAGGTGTTGTCAGGCATGGCTTCGAGAAGGCCGTACGCAAAGAGCAAGGGGCACTGGACGCCGCCGTAGGACAACCGACCGTGAAGATCGCCGTCTAAGATTATTGACCTTAAGGGACCGTTTCTCCACTACCAGGTCCATTGCAAATGAATGGTTTGCAGAACACGGAAGACCTATTGGCATGCGAAGTGTTTGCCGACGAATGAGAAGTTTTGGCTTGTTTTCATACCGGCCACACTGGGTCCTCCCTTTAACTCGAGAAGACCGACGTAATCGCCTTGAGTGGTGCAGACAACGGTCACTCTGGGATCAGGAATGGAACAGTATTGTCGTTAGTGACGAGTCTCGATTTTGTTTAGGCATGCACGATGGTCGTGCCAGGGTTAGAAGGCAACGTGGTGAAAGGAGGAATCCACAGTTTTTTGTTGAAAGACATGTTCATCACACTGTTGGAGTTATGGTTTGGGGTGCTATAGCTTACGGTTCCAGGTCACCTTTGATCTTCATCAGAGGTAACATGAACGCGCAGCGTTATATCCACGAAGTTCTAGAACCCCATCTTTTACCCTATCTTGACACCCTGGCAGATCCAACTTTCCAACAAGATAATGCCCGACCACATGTTGCAAGAGTCACAATAGACTTCTTTCAACATAATGATGTCACATTATTACCATGGCCACCAAGATCTCCCGACTTATCCCCAAATGAGCACGTGTGAGTCCTCCTCAGACTCTAGAAGCACTTCGAGAGGAGTTGGTGGTTGCCTGGAATGAGATACCACAGGAGGACATTGACCACCTGATCAGAAGCATGCCTAGGCGCGTTGGAGAATGCGTAGCACATCAGGGTGCATCCACACATTATTAAAGGTCAAAGGGCTTTAAAGCAGTGCAATCTTTTGAAATTTTTATCATTTACTTATTATGCTTCATTAAGTACTTATACAAAATTTTATTAAAATAAAACCATTTAAACTGGGTGTGCGGATTTATATGTCACTTAGTATAAATGTAGCATTATCATACAGCTGATATAAGCGAGATATACAAGGTGTTTATTAAACACCCGAACGCCCCGAAAAGTTGGCAACAACACATTTTTTGAAAGAAAGTAGCAATTTGTTTCTTGACACCCTAAAACCCTTTTCTGAGTCTTTTCGCCAAAAATTTCAAAAAAACGAAGTAGAATCTCAAGCTTGACACAAATCTGTTGTCAAAAATGATTGAATCTATAAAGTTGACCTTCAAATGCCCTCTGAAGTCTTCGTCGAGAGCATATTTGAGGTCACAGACAAATTGTTTTTTTTGATACCCTGAAACTTTGCTTAGGTCGTCTTCACAGTAAATACGTAGTTGTTTTCGTGTTATTGGGGTATTTAATAGCCATGAAATATGGGCCATATCTATAGCTAAATATTGCTACAAAGCTATTGCTTCTTGCTTTATAACAAGCTGCACACTCCAAATCTTAAATATAATTAAAATACTCCATTACCCTGGATATAGAAACATTTTCAGTTCACTTGGATCTTTCATCCCCTTTCTATTAGCTTAGATTTTATAAAAACGGAGACACGGCGGTCGTAAAAGCAACGGAATCGTTGGTACTAAGCTTCGGCTATCGTAACCTCGACAAATCTGTACATATCTGACTACCCAGCCTAAAAACCCGAAGTGTAAAAAGAAAAAGTGTAAAAATATCTCAGTCCTACGACCGCAACTCCTCTGCGAGGAGTCCCCATTGATCCGGGGGGACGATAATAAAAAAACGGCTTACAAGCGATAAGGCGCTCTATGCAACATCACATCAAATATAACGTTTTTCCTGCCAGGACCGCACCACAGTCTTTTGCCCATTCACTGACGAAAATATTGCTGATGGTATTTACTGAAATATGTGCTATCTATTAACGGAATCGACTACAGCGAGAGTAGGGGGAAGCTATGCATTTAAAGTAAACGGACACTGGCAGCTAAGTCATAACTATGACCGTGAAATTATATTCAATAAAAAGTATTCAGAATTTCTCGCAGAATACAAACATTGAATAAAATTCCGTAAGAAAAACAAAAGTTGGTATGAGTTTCTGAAAAACTGTAGATTTGGCAACATCGCGGATATCATCAACGCATCCGCTGGGGTTTCGAATCTAAGGGCCAATTTCACCAAAAACAGCCCATCAAATACAGCGAATGAGCTTCAAGTTCCAATCAACAAATTTTAGCAACCAATAGTTATTAAATGTTGAAAACAGAATACTGTCAAAGTATAAGATGACATCTTGTCATTGAAACACCATCAGCTTATTGAATATTAAGAAATTACATATAATTCAGTCAAAGTTTAAACAGATGTTTGATTTTTGAATAAAATACATGATTTAATTACTATTGTTGATTTTTTATTCATGATTATATCATTTTCTTCAATTGATATGCGATTTTACAGATTCAAGATCATCTACTGGGTGTTTTTTCCTATAAACCTCTTGCAGATAGCCATTAAGCACCTACTTGATGACTGGCTCTACCAAAAAGTTCATAGATATTGCTCGTTTCCAAACATTCATTCCATTTATCATACATAAATAAAGTAACACGACCCACCAGTAAAACCTGCATTGATCACTGCTTTATAAAGGATA